TAAATCAATTGAAAGGTGATCAGACTTCCAATGCATTAAGTTCAATAATATAAACTCCTCATGCAAATAACTTTAATTGAAAGCATAAAATTACTAAATCCATATTGAATTGATTAGACTACATTGTAGCCCTAGTAGAATAAATCAGTTCATAATAAAAAGAATAAAATATGAAATCACAGTTATGAACATTCAAATATCAAACAATAGATAAAAACCCAAGGAAAAACAAAACCCAATTTGAGGAAATCGAACTCCTTGATCTTCTATTATTGATGGAATCTTAATCTTGATCTCCAATAATGCCCAAAAGAGGGCTGCCACCAGCCTCTCAAAACTCCCTTAATTCTGAATTTGAATGGGTATTTATAAGGTTTTAGAAACCTTAATTAGAATAGAAGTAAGATTCGAAACAAAATAGGAAACTGGACAATGAACGCATGGTGTGACACTTCGAATTATGTGTTGACACAAAATAAAAAACAGAATTTGATTCTGGACATTTAACGCATGGTGTCGACACCCCGATAATGTGTCGACACTACACCCATGTCGGGTTTCTGGTCTCCTTTTGCAATTTCTTCAATGGTAAAATAGCAAATTTGGTTCCTGACTTTTGGATTCTGCACAAGTTGATCCTCAAGTCTCTAATCTCTTCAATTTACTTCTAAAAAGTAGAATTTCTTCTAATTAAATCCTTTCCTACACAAAGAATGAAAACCATGTAAAATCAAACAAAATCCGATAAAACTCATACAAATATCAACAATATCAAGATAAAAATTTCACATTAATATCTATATAAATTTAATTCATCAGACACCTCTTTAGGAGGGGTGATGATTATTAGAAAATACCTATATGAGACATCTTGATTCTTGTCTCTTGTAAGTGTTAATCTCTGTATTCTTGATGTCTTAGTTTTGACTTGACTCTAGGATGTCTAGGATGACTTGATTGTATATCTGCTTAGCCTCCATGGGCTACGAGGTGAAGGGGTAGTCTTTGAGGTACCTGATGCCCTAGAGTTTTGTTCCAAGAGAAATGATTCTTTTATCTGGCTGCTTTGATTTTTGTTTGCCCTTTTAATTAGAAGACAGTAATCTTCTAAGTATCTTGATCCCCACTATTGATTATTCTGTTAATTAATTCGTGTTACTTGGGGTGCTAAATCTTGACATCCTGGTTATATCTGCTTTTGAATCCGTGTTCTGGTTGTCATTATTGAAATCTTTTGTGGGCTAAATCATTGAATTCTATTGTTTGTTTCATGGTTAACTCTTGTCTCTCAATTTTGACTGCTTTGTTAAATTTGATCTTGATTCTTGGTGAATGCCGTTTTATTGCTGAATTTTTGAGGCATTCTACCTTACACTCTTATGTTCCAGTATTCTTCCAAGCATTCATATTTTCCATTGATTTCATTATGATGCTATTTTGGAAATTTCACATGTCATTTGATGGGTCTAACTTTTAACTTTTGTTAATTGCTAAAATCTGTTTCTTGATTCCAGTTGCTTTGTTAAACATGACCTTGTTTATTGGTTAACCTTGTTTTGTGGCAAAATGTATAAGGCATCCATTCACTCGTTCATTCATTCATAATCCATATATCCATTGGATGCTTATCCGTCTTTGATAGAGTTCAAAATTTGGTTGTACTCGTCTTTAAATCCATGCCATTCTTTGCCAACTCGTCTTGTGTTGGGTTCATAGTGTAACCCCACAATTGTTTTTTTGTGGCTTTGGCAGGATTTATTTATATTCCTTGTGCTTCTCATATCACCTCAGCCTCCAGTAGCTTGTTTCATGGTAAATCTTGTTAAGTAGTTAATGTTCTGTTTTTATGATTGGTTGTGGTTTGATATCAGAGTGGCGCAACGGAAATGTAGTAGGCTATGTTCTGTTCATAAAGAGTTGGTAAGGCATTTGTTTCATCTTGGATTGTGTGAAACCATTCACCAATCTAGATGGTCCTCAATTTGAGTTTTGGGGACAAAACTCCTTTTTACGAAGGGTTGAATGTAATATCCTAAATTTTCTAAAATTCTAGCATTTAAGTTGAGGACCTTTGTGTGAGAAA